CAGTTGAGACCCATCTGAGTCTCACAAGGAGACACAGCTGAGCCAGGGTCCTTGGGGAGGGAACCTTGGCCCATGGGCTACAGAGCAGTGACATGGCAGCCCTGGACATGGGAAGACAGGGTGTCCTGACTGCGGAGGTTTCTGGAAGGGAGCCACAGCTTGTCAGGGTCAGAACCACAGAGCACGCAGGGCCAGCCTTCCCAGCTTTGCCTGCTCCTGTGGGTCCAGCTCCTGCCCCCTTGCCCCTGAGATTTCCTGGAGGTGCCCCTGCCTCACCTGCTTGGGCCCCAGTGGAGCTGTGGCCACCACGTGCTCACCCGGCAGAGGTCTGGCCCCTTCTCATGCAGCCACACTTTTCAGACGCCCAACACGTTTGCTGTGTGCACGGAGCACCGTGGCATCCTCCTGCAGGCCAACAGTGACAAGGACATGCACGACTGGCTGTACGCTTTCAACCCCCTCCTGGCCGGAACCATACGGTAGGGGCCCCATGGGGACCTGGGGTGGGGGGACTCCCTCTGCTGCCGAGGACTCGGGGGGCATGGGTCTTCTTGGCCAGTGGGATGAGAGGACATGCTCGGCGCCTCTGGTGCCCATTTCTGTACCCCTGCTTCTCCCAAAGGCTGTAAATCCCCAGGCTTCCAAAACATGCATGCTGCAGGGCAGGCCTCACGGAGGTGAACACCAGCGCCCCTGGGGACGACAGCCTTGCCATCACAGCAGGGACTCCCCGGGAGCACAAGCTGCCCCCGAGTCTCTGCCAACAGGCACCATGGGCTGGGTCTGTGCAGCGGCCAGGGGCCCAGGCCATTGGCCTGCGAGGTCTGCTGGGGCCATCCCTCATGCCCACCCTGCTGCTGGCTCCCACCCTGACCCCCGCTTCTGCCTGGTTCCCCCACAGGTCCAAGCTCTCCAGAAGGAGGTCTGCCCAGATGAGGGTCTGAGCTGGAGCCCTCTGTGCGCCCGCCAGCAGTCCCGGCCCCGCTTCCCATCCCCGCTGCCATCATGGTGTCATCCACCACCAGCCCTGCCCCCACCAGACAGCCAATGAGTCACACCTCTGGCCAGGGTGCCTGTGCCACACGACCTGTTGGGCCCCCAGCAGAGGCCACGTTCTTGTCGTTTCCTCTTGTAGAACGCAGCCCTGGTGGGAAGAGTCCCGAGGCGCTGGGAAGGCCAGAGGGCACAGGTCCCCGGGGACATGGCTGGCGTTCTGATATTTTTTAAAGCATAGACAGACTTACAATTAACATGCATTAGTTAGTGATGTTGAAACAGCCCACTTGGAAATTACCTGTAAGACAGTGCTCTATTTATAAGTATTTATTCCTGATGCCTCGCACAGACCTGTAGGATTCCCATCAACCCTGCTTCCGCTCCTCACACACATCGCCAAGCCCCTTAGGGACAGACAGGGTGGGCAGCCACCCTGGAAGGCCACGATGAGGGGGTCTGGACAGGCCGGGCCCCTCCTGGCGGTCACTGCTCCAGCTGCGCTGAGGCTTCTCCCAGCTGCACGTGGGGAAGGCCCTCACCCCTGGGGCAGGGTGTGCATGTGGGGGTCTGAAGACCGAGCCACTCAGAAGGGGAAGTGCTTCCAGTGGGAGGCAGAGGAGGGCAGCCACCTGAGATGCCACCTCCCAGCAGTGCCACAGGTTCTCCCTGGGAGCCGGTGGGGGGCGGGTGATGAGCAGACGGGTGCTGGGGCTGCTGGGGCCTGTCCTGGATGGGATGGAGGGAGAGGGTCAGGATCCCGCCATGTGTCATGTATCCAGGCCGGCAGGCACAGGGGCTGGGTGTACCGGCCGCCCAGGCAGCCAGGGGCCTGTGGTGAGTCCCCCCAGCTGCCGTGAGAGACAGAATGAGCTCCGAGTCCTCCTGAGGAGTAAGTCTGTGACTTCCCCTCTCTCCCCTAGAGAAGAGCATTTCTGTGAGTCCCAGTGAAGATTCTGTGGGGTCAGGTGTGGGCAGCCAGTGTTGGGTCATCCGTCATCCAGCGGGTACCCCACTTATGCAATGGAGGGAGCTGCACGTCTGTGGGTGTCCCTTCTGCGGACCCTCTGCCTGAGGGCTGCCCAGGACAGAATAGGAGTCAGCCCCAGGCTGAGAGTCAGGCCAAAGGTCGTGCCCAGGCTGTAGACCCATCACAGAAACCATGCGGCTGGGGCCAGAGGATCTTCAGCCACCTGTTTCCACACCCAAAGGCACATTTGGCCTCTATTTAGCTCAAGGGAAAACAGCAGCAAATCACAACCCCCTGCCCCTCCCAGGGCCCGCCAAGGGCAGGCTGCATCTGGGCCTGCGACTTCCAGATCCAGGCTCACATCCGGCCTGTCTTGGTTCATGCGGCCCTTTGGTGCCTTATGTCACCATTGCCAGACCCTGCTGGGCGCTGCTCAGACACCTCACTTGTCCCCTGGGTCTGGGGGGTCGGTCCTGTTGCACCCCAGTCAGTGGTTCCGAGACCCCCCTGCAGCCGGGCTGTCCCCTGATGGCACTAACGTGGACATAGCCCTGATCCTTGCACCGGGACCAGAGGTGTGCGTGGCATCTGCCTGGGGACGGGAGGCCTCAGCCCCCATACCAAGTGAGGAGATGGTGGTTTGATGTTTTCCTTCGGGAAAGCTGTTGGGGCCCCTCAAGCTTCGCCTTGGACGTGAGACACAGGGCGGTGGGCTCGCCCAGCAGCCACATGAGCCCAGTGGGAAGCTGAGGCAGCCAGGGCACCTTTTCTGTGCGTGGTCCTGGCAGTGCCCCTTGCTCCCTGCTGCCCTCATCCTGTGCCTGGAGGCGCCCCCCTACCCCCTGCACAGCGCCATCAGTAGGAACCAGGTCCTAGGAAACCTCACCTCAGAAGCGCAGCACTGAGCAGCCTCCTTTGGAGATTCCCCAGGTGAGGGGTCACCTCCTGGACAGAGGGTCAAGCGCTGTCCAGAAGCCAGGTGGCCTGTGCTCCCCGCAGACGTCCCTGGAGGCAGCGGGCTGAGCTGTGGAGAGCACAGGTGACAGCCCAGTCTGCGCGAAGCTTTTATACCGGCCCTGAGGGCAGGGAGGGGAGACTGGTAGGGGAATTCTAAGGTGGGCCGGGTTCTGAGGTCCCCACCTTCCTGCAGGGAGATTGCGGGTACAGGTCCGGGCCACGGCCCGCACAGGTCAGCCAGCCTGAAGCCGTGGCCTTGGAAGGGCTAGAGGCTCTGGGTGCAGGAGTCTGAGGCCTGCCAGCCTGCAGAGCACCTGCTGTGGACGCAGGGCCGAGGGAAGGAATCTCCCCAAGTTCAGGAGCCCCTACAGCCATGGGGGCACCCAGGGGACTGTTCCCTTTCCTCCTGCGGCCCCCTTATCAGTTGGTCAGGAGCCAGGTGAGGGCCTCCCGCCGATCCCACCCTGTCATCACTTCCTCCTCTCAGGCCTGCTCCAGGGAGCCGCCAGGGAGGGGAAGCTGCCTGTGAGCCGGGGACCCCTGTCCTGCCCAAAGCTGCCCCCGTGTCATACCAGCTGGGCACATGCCATCCAAACGGGGACTCAGTCTCCACATCTGAGACATGGGGGACTGACGTGGGGCCTTGGGGGTCCTCACACTGCGGGTGCCAAGAGGAAAGCCAGGCCTGGCTGTGGCTGCTACTTCCTGCTAAGTGGGGAGGGGAGAAGGACCCAGGAAGCCATCTCTCCCTGCTGGTGTTTAATGCCTGGTGCTGCTCAGGCTGCAGCCTCGTCTCAGTTTGACAGACAGGCATCCTTGTCTGGAGAAGCTCTGTTCCCTCCAGGAGACCGCGAGCTCCTCCTGACCCTGTGGGCGCCAGGCCAACTGGCACCAGGCTCTGGTGTGATGCTGCTGGTGCCCAGGGGTGGGTGTGAGATGCTCCTAAGTCCCAAGGCCTCCCCAGCTGCTCACCAGCTGCCAACCTTTCATCCACTGGCCACACAGGTGCTGCAGGGAGGTGGCCTCCCCATCGATCTGGTTGCCCTAGCCCCTCTGCGACAGGTGTAGACAGGCACTTGGGGAGGGACCCTGAGTGTGTCTGATGGCACGGGCTCCAGTGAGCAGGGCTGCAGGGCTGGTGCTCCGTCGGCCCCCCAGCGTGGGATCCTGGGAAGTGCCGGCATCTACCCCTGGGATGGACGGAAGCTGCGGCTTTTTCTGGGCCTGTTCTTCCTGTAGCCAGCTGTCCCCTGAGTTCCCCTCTGGCTTGTACATATGTGGTTGTGTGGAGCACCCGCCCCAGCACCGTAACCACCATCCTCACGTAAAACCCTCATTCCCTGACGTCCTGAACCCGAGTGTTAGGCTCTAGGTTCCTGTACTGTGTGTGCACTCAAGGCTCTGTCCAACTAAAAAATAAATGTGACTCCTGCAACACCAGACCCGCAGACTGTGGCTTTTTCTTCAGGGTAGTCTGTGATGGGGCCAGGTGGCCAGCACCGACCAGAGACTGCCCGCCTCCCCAGGAGTGAGGCAGGGAGGGGAGGAAGCGGCCCCTGTCTAGACAGCTCGGCTCCTCAGGTGCACCCAGGCCGGGCCTTCCCTGCGGTCAGCATCACCCCAGTGCCAAAAGCAGACAAAGACTTCACAGGAAAACCAAACCTCAGCATCCTTCACCAACACAGGAACAAGCCTCAACATTTTACCAAGTCAAATCTAATGATATGTGGGAAGGATAGAACCTCGTGACCAGTGGGGTTTGTCCTGGGAACGCATGGTTGGTTCAGAAACTAACCAGAGTAATTCCTGATATTAAACTAATAAAAATCATTACAATCTCTACAGATGCAGGAAAAGTATTTGAGGTAATACAACATCCATTGCTAATCAAACCTTTAAATAGAAAATAACTTCCTTAAACTGACAATGAGTGCCTTCAAAGTGTGTCTATCATCCTACTTAGTGGCAAAATACAGATGTGTGACTCTCGCAATCAGAACAAGGCAAGGATGCCCTCTGGTGATCAGGTCCTGTTCAGCGTGGACCTGGAGATCCTGACCAGAGCAGTAGGGCAGCAAGAAAAAGGTGCACAGATCAGAAGAAATGAAGCTGTCCACAGATGGCATAATTGCTGAGCAAGAAAATTCAAAATAATGTACAAAAAAGCTGCTAGAATGAATGAGTTTCACAAGGTGGCAGGATATATGGTCAGTATACGGACACTCATTCCATTTCTATGTGCCAGCAATGAACAGTTGGACATTTTAGTCGTAAAAACAGTACTGTTTATAATAGCATCAAAAATGTGAACTACACAGATGTCAGTAGAGCAGTAAATCTAATACACTTGCAAAATATGCATGCCAAAAACTTGAAAACATTGATAGAAATCAAAGAAGATCCACATGAAATGAAGAGTCGCATCATGTTGAGAACTGGAAGATCCAGTGCTCGTCGGGATGGTCTCCCTCCCCAGGCTGGCCTGTCAATCAACACATTCTCAATTAGAATTCCTGGTAGATATCAACCAGCTGATTCTAAAAGTTATATGAAAAGTAAAGGAACTAAAATAGCTAAAACAAGTCAGACCACCCAATTTTAAGGCTTATTTACTATAAAGCTACAGTAATCAAATGCATTAGATACATGGATCAATGGAACAGAGAGAATACAAAATAGACCCACACAAATGATAGCCAACTGATTTTTTTTTTACAGAAGTACAGAAATGATCCGACGGAGAAAGGATAGTCACCTGGTGACACTGAAACGGCTGGACACTGGTCTGTTTTGAGAAGTGAACCTCAGCCTAAACTGCATACCTTATACAAAAAGTAACTCAAAATTGATCATAGATCAATAAATGTAAAATAGAAATCTAGAAATTTCTGGAAGAAAATCTGCAGGATGCAGAGCTAGGCATAGTGTTATGTAAACATGACACCAAAACCCTATCCATAAAAGAAAAGAAATTTAGACTCAAATATAAATGCAAAACTTCTGGAAGTACTTATTAAAACACATCATTAAGAAAATGACCAGGAACTGGGAGAAAATGTTTGCAAAACAACTGTGCAACAAAGGATTTGTATCCAGACTATGCAAAGAAGAAATGAAACATTACTGTGACCCAATAACAAGAAATTAAAAATTGAGCAAAAAGTATTTGAATAACGAATAAGCTCATGAGGTGATAGTGTTTACCATCATCTGGCATCATGGAAATGCGACTTTAAGCCACAAAGGGAGATACCTGTGCCCCAGGTGGGAACAGACATGTTAAATCTTCAAACACCAGCTCTGAGAGACGCCACCCAGCTTGGGCCCTGCGCTCAGAGTGACGGCTCCACACTCCCCTCCGGAGGGCGAGCAGTGCCTTATCAAGTCAAGCCTTTGTCCCTGCAGTGACCCAGGGCATTTTAGGTATTTATCTGAAAAAAATGAAAACCTTTGTCTACAAAGTCTTGTATAAAAGTACTTCTAGCAGCTTTATTCGTATTAATCAAAAAAATTTTTAAACCTAAATGTTCAACAGGAAGCAAGCTGTGGCTCACCCATAAAATAGAATTCATTCAGCAGTAAAAAGAGACAAAACTCTGACACGCGCAGCAGCATCAGTTGCCCCACTGCCAGTCCCCTCCAGGAACACGGCCGGACAAGTGGCGGGAGCCCGGGGACCTGGCTGCGTGTGATTGTCCTCTCATTGGTATGAGCCTGTGAGGGCAGGAACTGGACAGGGGCGGCCTCTGTTGAGGGCAGGAGTTGAGTGGGCAGGGACGTGGGGAGTCTGTCCCCTGTCTTGGTAATGGGTGGGTCACCCAGGTCCATGGATCTGTCACAGACACAGAAAGTTACTCTAAAGATTGGCAAGATTCCCTTTAAGTTTCATCTAGAAATCTAAAAAGCATCTGGAAATAAAAGCGGTCCACATTGACTCTTCGGTGTGAATGACACTGACGTCCAGTGGGGCTTGGCACGTTCACAGTGGGCGGGTCATCGCACATAAGGTCCAGGCCCTTCGGGCTGGAGCAGGAAGGGTGGGGTGGGAGGCCCAGCAGGGCGCACTGCCTGTGCTCCCTGAGGGAACTCCCACCCAGGGTCTCCACACACTGCCTCCAGGCCTCTGTGGCTTCCAGAATGTTCCTTGCTCCCCTGAGAGGGCAGGCTAGCGTGGGCTGGGGGAGCTGGGAGGATCTGCAGTGGGGTCAGCCTCGCCCCATCCTTCGGGGCACAGAGCCTTCTCCCAGGGTGTGTCCTCTGCACAACTGAACAGCCCCAGCTGTCCTCTGTGCTGCGGATACCCCTCCCTGTCCCAACCCGTTTCTGCAGGGGGAGCAGGGAGGGACAGATGTTGGATTAGGACAGGAGGGACCTTGGGCAGAAACCCAAAATCCATTCCAGGACAGGATGAAGGCTGGCGGCCCCACCCTCCACAGTGCGACAGCCGCTCCCCTCCCACGGTGCCCCGGCAGCGCGGTGCTGTGAAACCTGGTGATGCGGCCGGTGACAGGCATGGGGCCCAGGAGCCAGGCCAGGCCGGCCTGCATCCCCCACCCTCGTGGCCAGCTTTGCCTGGGCACTGTGTCAGCCGAGCTCCTCAGGACATACCCACGGATTCTGATGGCAGCTCGCCCTTTACTCTGGAACGGTTTCCTGGGGAGGAGGGGGAGGTGGCTGGGGCAGGGGTCCTGCCTTCTGAAGGCAGGTGGGGCAGCAGGACCGGGAAGGGGAGGTGGGGGAGAGGCGTGAGGGCCCTCAGGAGGGCACAGGTGAGGGTGGGGCAGGGGGCTACCTCCTTGGGGGTTCCCCTGGCAACATCTGGACAGTGGGGTCTTCGCCCTCCAGAGGTTCCTGTGCTCAGAGGCCACCTCCCTGGCTCTGCCCAGCCATCTGCAGGGAACAAGGGTGGGGACACAGGGCATGGGGGTGAGGCACCCCCTCCTGCGGCCCACCTGCCCTGCTGATGCCCTTGCCCTGCTGTGCCCACTGCCGTGGCCCCTGCATGGTGTGGCTGGTAACAGCACGGGGTCCAGGGGCCTGGACCTGGACAGCAGCCCCAGAGTCCCTCCTCCAACCACTCCTCCTGGGAACTGCTGCAGCGCTCCTGCGCGCCCCGCCCCCCCGCCCCCCAGCCTGCCCCCTCTCTGGCCAGGAGGTCCTGAGGGGGTGCTCAGAGCTCAAGGCCCCTCCCGCGCCCAAGCCTGCCCTCCTCGGGTTGCCATACTCGGCTGAGCCTGTTCCCTCTGCCGGAAATAACTGTCCCCCTGGGACTCGCCAGGGACTCCAGCTGGCCCTCTGTGACCCAGCACAGCCGCCCTACCTGGCATCCCACACCCTCAGCGAGGGCCACCTGCTCCTCTTCTGTCATGTCCTGGGTTACCATGGTGAGCTGGCGACCTTGAGCCCAGAGACTGTGACTGGGGGCTGGTGCCTTGCAGCCAGGCCAGGGTCCAGTACAGGGTCACCAGCAATGCCACCCCCAGGCCCTGAGGACTTGGGAGCCACGGCACAGAGCTGCTTCTCCAGGAAGAGGCCCACCTTGCACACAGAGCAGATGCCCCCGTCCAAGGCATCACTGGGACTGCAGGGAGGCCATGTGGCTCGGGATGGGCACAAGGGGCTTCCTAGAAACGCCTTTTTCTGTCTACACTACCAGGCAGACAAACTGAAGTCGGGTGAGCCGGGCCCATCACAGCAGCCCTGTGAGCACCTCGACGGGTAAGGCCCGACCCCAGCGGACAGCTGCTGTCCCCGGGGGAACTGGTGGTTGTGAGCCATGCACAGGCAGAGCCAGGGACGCTTGCCCAAGTGGGGACATGAGCCAGGTGCGGGGAGCTGCCATGATGCGCCTGTGCAGAGTCACAGGGCAGGTGCCTGTGCATGTGGCTGCAGAGTTGCTGGAGCTCCAGGCCTGCTCGTGCAGCTGGAGTGGGGGCCCAGGTGTGGCACTCCCAGGGCCGGCCCAGCTGCGCCCTCCCTCAGGCCCTGCCCTGTCTGTCCGGCTCAGGGCCCTGGGGAGCACCAGGCAATGGCTGGTCTGAACGTGTCCCTGTCCTTCTTCTTTGTCACTGTTGCCCTCTGCCAGGTGGCCAGGAGGCATCCAAGGCCCTGTTCTCAGCAGGCGCCTACACCAGCTTTGCCGGGGAGGCTGCAGGTGCAGCCCAGTCGGGGGTCTGCTGCCTGGCGCTGCCGATGTCGGCGGAGATCAGGCCCTGGGCTGGGGGCTTCAGCCCCCACCTGCTGCTGACGCTGCTCTTCCTGCCCCTCCTGGCGCACAGGGTGACCTTCGAAGGGGCCTCGGCCAGCCCCGCCGTGTCCCTGCAAGAGCTCCTTCTAGCCGAGGCCTCTCTGCCCAGCATGCTGCTGAAGCTGTGGCCCAGGGGCTGGGCGTGCAGGTAGCCTGCACCCTGACCTGGCTGCCCTGGGCCTGGGAGCTCAGCGACCTGCACGTCCTCAGAGCCCCCTGGATGCACGCCACCGCTCGGCCCTGCACACCACTGTGCCCCACGGGGCGCTGCTGGAGAGCGCCTACCCCTTCCATCTGACCCTCCTCCACCTCCAGAGCAGCCTGCCCGTCCATGCACAGGGTGCCCGCCGTGGCCCTGCTGGGCACCATCATGGCCTACACAGGTGAGCCAAGGAGGCACAGAGACCGGGGTGGCCATTCCTGGGGACCCAGGCCCTGGCAGAGCTGTCCTTCCTGGCCAGGCCTCTCCAGGCTCCAAGCTGTCCCATTCATCCCAGAAGGTCTCCACTGGGCGGCTGGGGCAGTTCTGCAGGGCCCGGCCCAGCCTCTGGCCTGCCAACCCCTATGTCTCCTGTCACCCCTTCCGAGAGTGTGGGTCCCATCATCCCGGCCTGCCTCTCCCCACTCCTCACTTGGCCCCACATGTCTCTAAGTGGGCAGCGCCCCTCCCACCCCCAGGCAGAGCCTCCTGACTATGGTCCCAGGGGGGCCCCCAGCCTCAGCCTCAGTCAGCACCCACTGCTCTGCTTTCAGCCCTCAGATCCTGGTGACCTGTCCTAGGCTCCCCGAGGAGGGCCTGCCCCCAGCACAACAGGAGACCCACCTTGGAAATGGGGACAGAGGTGCCCTGTGGGCTGCTGACTCCCAAGGGGCTCCACCATCGTTTTGTCTGTGGGCTGGCCCCCCAGGAGGGGTCCCCCTGGCAGGGACTGGCTCTGCCCCTGAGGACTGGTTTGGGCTTCCAGGAAGGCTACCGGGTGATCCCCGTGCTAGGAGTGGACAGGGCCTTCTGCAGGCAGCCCCTCGGGGATGGGCACCCATGGTGGTGGGGCCGCAGATCAGTCAACAGGTGGCCCGTTCCCGCCCAGGATGCGGGGATCACAGCTGGAAGAGGCCAGAGCCATGCTCTGCATTCTCCACTCGCGGTGGACGGGCCCCGTAGGGGTGGAGCCAGCGCTCGGGCCTGGCCTTCCGAAAGGCCAACACGGCCCAGGACAGACACCAGGGTCCTGGAGCACAGAGTGTGGGGAGATGCAGCTAGAGCCCCTGTAAGGTGGGGAAACTGAGGCATGGGTGGGCAGAGACTTGCCGGGGCAGGGCTCCCCGGCCGGACTGCCTGGGCCGCACCCTGGGAGAAGTCCCCTCTGAGAGCCAGCTGGTGGCTCCCCAGACCCGGCCCTGGCCCCGCCCATGCGGAGGCCGTGTTCCGGTGCCATCCCAGGCCTCCTCTGGCCCCCTGCGCACACCCTGCAGCTCCTTCCTTCCTTCCACCGAGTCCCGCTGAGCATCTCGCCCTTCTGCCTCCACCCCCCACATCTGTCTCAGGTCCTGAGGACGGGGGAGGGAGGGGGAGGCTGAGCACTGGGCAGGCATGCAGTGTGTCCCCGGCAGGACTGGACACATGGATGGGAGGGAGGCTGCGCACCAGGGGCCGGACATAGCAGCCCTGAGCAGGGTCTGCACTCACAGGGCTCCCTGGGCTGCGGTGGGCGTCGGAGGGGTGGGAAGGGGCAGGTGGGGGTCAGGCAGCCAGTGCCCGGTGGAGTGTGCGATAGGCATTTGGGGGCCAGGGAGGCTGGCCTGCCAGGATGCGGCTGCCACTTTTTCTCTAGGCCTGTGGACGGGACAGCAGGGCAGGGAGGTTGGGGCCCAAGACGCACAGGTGGGAAGAGGCAGATTTGCACTCAGACCTGGTTTGGACCGGATCCCGCAGGGGCCTCTGAAAAGCTCCAGTTCCAGCATGAGTTGGAGTGCCTAGTCCCTGCCTCTGCCAGCTGGGCCTCCAGCTCCCCGTCCACAAACCCTGACCGCCTCCTCCTGCCCCTGCCCCCACCCTAGCACAGCTGTGCAGCCCCCATGAGGGCCCAAGGGCCCCACCAGACCCCCAGATGGGGAGGGGAGGGGAGGCTGAGGAGAGCCCCCACATGGAGACCTCTGGAGAGTCATCTGGGAAGATGCCCGCCCTCCACCTCCCAGCAGGTGAGCCTGCGTGCGCAGCCCCATCAGGGCCGGTCTGGGTATAGAACTTTATTCTGGTCCCAGGGGACAAGGGCAGAGGGCTGGCCATCGCGGCCTGACCGTACTTGGCAGGCAGCCACGCCCAGCCCCGGGGAGCATGCTGGGCACGTGGCAGTGTGGCCCCCTCCCAGGCCCCTGGGTTGGCCTTGCGCAGGCCTCAGACCTCCTGCCGTTGTCGTCCCTCTTCCGCCCCAGGGGTGCTCCGGGCCCACCTGGGCCTCCTGCAGAGAGCCAGAGCCCAAGGAGAGTCCAGCAGCCCCAGCAGGCAGCACCGCCCCGCGAGCCTGGGATCTGGCCCCACGTGCGGCTCGTCCCCTAGGCCAGGGTCACACACACAGAGTCCTGGCTTTTGTGGGCCTTGGCGGTGGGGCTGGCCTGCGCCTCCTGGAACTCCTTGGCCATATAGTAATAGCAGATGGCGTCCAGGCAGCAGTTAGCGTCTGAGAGCTTGCTGGCGATGAAAAGGGCACGGAAGACGGTGCACGTGCGCAGGCTCATGGCCAAGCTCACGGTCAGCACCACGTGCAAAGGCAAGAAACAGACCACAAACACAGCCAGGTTCGCCCAGACCATGCGGGCGGCTCTCCGGGTGGCCTCGCCCTGGCTGGCATCAGTGGCTGGCCTCTGACCCAGGGCGGCCACAACCTGCAGAGAGCAGAAGACCAGCACGGCCAGCGGCAGGTAGAATCCCAGCAGCGAGAAGACCACGGTGTTGGAGCTTTGCTGGGAGCGGTTCGAGAAACAGAAACTGCCCTCCTGGACCGCCAGGACCCAGCGAAGCACCAGGGAGCCGACCACCAGCACCCAGAGCCCTGCACACACGGCCAGGGCCTGCCGCGGGGAGCGGAGCCCGCGGGCACGCAGCGGGTGCTGCAGGGCCACGTAGCGGTCCACAGCGATGGCCGTGACCAGGCCGATGCTCATGTACCTGTTGGCCAGGTAGATGCCCTGGGAGAGCTGGCAGAGCGGTGTGTCCACAGTGCTCCTCAGAGAGTGCAGGAAGAAAGGCAGGGTGCAGAGCAGGCAGAGGTCGGACACGGCCAGGTTGGCCATGTAGACGCGGGTCTCCGTCCACTGCTGCAGGCGGTGGCACAGCACCCAGAGCGCCACGCCGTTGAGCGCCAGGCCCAGCACCAGCAGCAGGCTCGTGTAGGTGTAGAGGACGTACGTGACCGCCCGGGGCCAGGCGAGCTCACTGGAGCTGCAGTTGCTGCTGTTCATGGTGGGGGGCTGCAGGAGAGGGGCAGGCGGTGAGGACGGCAGGCAGGGAGGGCAGCTGGGCCAGCAAGGGCCCGCCCACCGCACACCAGGGATGCAGGACACGCGGGAGCCGAAAGCCCACCTCCCTACAGAAACGACAGAAGCTGGCAGACGTCTGAGGGGCCCTGCAGGCCAAGCCCTTTCCCACACACAGGCCTCCAATGGCCAGGACCGCCCGAGGCCGCACCACGAGCAGCCGGCTCCCTGACCCCTAGGGGCCTCTCTCCTAGGTGGGCTCAGCCAGGGACAAAGCCAGGGTGCCTACTGCCCCTACCGCTCCCTGTGGCTGCTGGAGGGGCCTATGTTTGACTGGCACCTGCCACTGAGCGGGCTGGTCAGCAGCTACCCACCTGGCCATTCCTGGTAGCCGGGGCTGGTAGTTCAGGACAGCAGGGGCTGTGGCTCCAGACAGCCCCCCAGAAAACTCCAGACCTCTGGTCTCCAGGCCTCTTCCCTCCATCCCCTGCTGAGAGCAGCCCTCATCCTCTTCCTGAGGGACCTCCATGCCAGGCACCCATCCCCTCCGAGTGCCCACCTGCCCTAGTCCTATGCCCTGAGGCCCCACTTGGAGGCCCCAGGCGCTCTAGTCGGGAGTGTCAGGCCTCTTGGGCTCCCTATGGTCAGGGTATGAGGGTGGCCCTGGCCCTGCAGGCTGGCCGGGCAGCTCAGAGCCAGCTTCCAACCCACCATCAGGAGCTCCTGCGCAGCCTCGCCTTCCTGCCCACAGTCCCCCAGGATGTGCTCCAGCATACAGCCCAGGGGGGCCGGGGGGACTCGGCCAGGGTCTGACATCCAGGGCATGGCCCGTGGTATGGCGACTGTGGACTCTGGCTTCACCCTGAGCTGGCAAAACCTCTGCGTCCCTGTCACAGGGGCGCTGGTCTCATGGGGGTCCAAGGAACTCGTGCATGAGAGGTCAGGGCTTGGTGTTTGGCACAGGGCACACACCTGCGCCCCCCTTTCTCCGGCTGGAAGGGCCTGGGGATAAAGCAGAATGACTTCTCTGCAGGAAAGCACCAGGCCTGCCTTTCAGGGGTGGATGGAAGGGGGGTCACCCACCCAGGCAAGGGCCCAGAGCCGGGCTGTGCCTGCTCTGCCGCCTGCCCCCTCCCCACACAGGAAGGGAAGAAATGCCTAGAACCCAGTGTGGGCAGAGCCTTGTGCCCATTAGTGCCTGGCGTGGTGGGGAGGCTCATTCTGCAGCTGCGGTTCCCAGAAACCGGAGACCACAGCCCATTAGGGCAGCAGAAGCACCTATTACAGTCAGAAACAGAAATATTCCAGCAAAGGATCCCATTCCATCTCTTGAATTATAAATGGCACACTTGCCAGCAATTAAGGTTGCAGGACCCTCCACCAGGTGTGCAGGCTCCCCACACCCTGTGACCCCTGCTGTGCTTGCTGGGAGGATTCAGCCCCTGATCTTCCGTCCTGCGAGGGACCCCTCACTCTGCCCACATTCTGAGGCTCTGAGGACCCGTGGCCAGGCCGGCTTCAGGGACTGACCAGCACCCCGGAGCCAACTGCTGGGGGCTTCCCAGCCTCCCTGCCCGGCCCTCCTGCCTGGCCATGGCCCAGGGACACTCCCCCCGCTGCACCCCCACCACCGTGACCTGCCAGGCCAGTCTGTGAGGTCCTCCACTGGCCCAGAATCCTCAGAAGCTGCTGGGAATACCCCGCCATTCTGTGGGACACGTGATCTGCCCACCTGCACTGGCCAGCGGCGCCAGCCTGTCTGAGTTTCCGGTGGTGCAGGGTACTGCCCAGGGGCGGTGGGCCGTGCCCAGCCCTGATGCCCCCCACCCCAGATGGCTGCACAGGCGCTTGGGTCTCCAGTCACGCACCTGGCGGTGTGATTTTCAGTCTAGCCTCAGTGTGGCCTGATATTTTACACGAGTTCACAAACCCGACTACAGTCTTTTAACTTGAACTCCTGACTCTCGGGAACAAGGGTGTGGGCCTTGCAAAAGTTTAGGTGCACATGAGACTTTGAGGAAATGCCCTGCCTACGGCCCCAACCCTCTGCGGTGAGGAATGCCCTCCAAAAAAGCTTGGAAAGTCAAGTCCCAGGATCCCCAGTGGTGTGGGTGCCCAGAAGCCATCATATGTCCCTGCCTGTGCCTGGGGCAGGATCTGTGTAGTGCGGTGGCAGAACAGCTCAGTTTCCTGTGGGGAGGCTGTAGGGGGGGGACTGTAGCCCCTCAGAGGCAGCGCTTCCTCCTCCGGAGGCCGGATCCCCGGCCTCCTGGCCAGAAGGTAGAGAACGCCCCTTGATTCTGCGCTGAGACACCTTGGCAAGCGCTGGAGAGAAACCTTTGAACTTGGGAGGCCCCAGCACAGGAAGCCCTGTACCCCCAGGCCCTCCCGTTGTCTGGGTGGCCCCGCCTGAGTGGGATCTAGGGCTGCCCAGGCACCACAGAGGCCCCCAGAGCTGTGACCCCACATAAGAAAAACCCCACAGCCCAGGTCCAGGGTGGGTGTGTGTGAGTTACACTGTTCCACGGAGCTCACCCCCCAGGAAAGCCACGCTCAGCTGTGCCTCCTCCGGCTGTGGGCGCTGGTCACGGAGTGGGCGCCTGTGCTGGGGGCCCAGGCCCTCCGCACACCTGCAGCCACTCTGCCTTGCCGCCCACACCTGGCGGGGCACAGTCACGGCAGACGGGCCCCCTTCCCACGCCATCGCCACTGCAGCTCCTCCATCTCCTGCTCTGAGACCCTGGGCCCCACAGCCGGCCCGACCTGCAGCCGGTCTGTTTCCCCAGCTGAGCTGTCCGCCCAGCGCTGCCGAAGCCTGGGCGGGGGGCTGCCTGAGAAGGACGGTGGGAAGGCAGGGCTGGGAGTGTGGGGGATGGCCTGCCCCTCAGGCCAGTTCGACTGCAACCCTCCTCAAGGCAGGCCCAGAGCAGGGCTGCCTAGGGAGTTTCGGAGGGGAAGTGGGGTGCCTGCACGCACATCTCCAGGGATCAGCGTGCTCGCTGAAGGCAGCCCAGTTCTGGGAGCAGCCAGAGAGCTAGGGCCCCCTCCACGGCGCTCAAGCAGCCCTCCTGCCCGCCCGACCCACCTCCTCCGGAAAGCGCCAGGCCTGTCCCTGCCCCCAGAGGCCCTGTCCCACCAGCATCCCCGCCGCCCACACCTGTGGCTGCCGAGACCTGCTGCCCAGTGGTGGAGGGTCGCACAGACTGGAGCTAACTCCTGCCACTCCTGTCAGCCACCAGTCCCATCCCTCCCCTCCACCAGGTGCCCCTCAAAACCACCTCTCAGAAGGCCTCTTTCTAGACCACCGCTCCCCCTTCTAGAATGTTCTCCAGCCCCAGCCAGCTCCTTGAGGCCTCCCTTCTTTTGGCGGGCCTCTCCCTGCGGAGCCCACGGTGGGGAGCATCTGCCCCCCCTGCCGCCCCGCAGCCCTGTGCTCCCCGGCGGGGCCCACAGCGCCCAGCGCTACACCCCTGCACAGCCGCGAGGCTTCTCCCCTGCCCTGCCCCTCGCCCCACTGTTTCCTCAGACCTCAGGAACCAACACAGCCCTTCCGTGTCCCCAGCACTGCTAGTGGCTAGGACTCCACCTGCTCCCGGCGTGTGACCCGTGGCATGGAGAAGAGTAGAGCCTCAGTCACACGCGCTGAGCGGCTGGCGCGGCCCTGCCAGGAGGATCCCCAGGGGTACAAGGGGTGCACGGGGGCTTCTTGGCTGCCAGCAGGTACTCGAGACACACTATGGCCGCCAGCTCAGAAGCCACAGCCCGCAGTGGGGGGCGCCTGGCCCCCGAGCCCTCCTTCTCCTGGCTGTGCCGGCCCGCTCTCCGTGGGGATGGGGGCTGCCGAGGGCCGGCCAGTCCTTTCCTTGAGGCCCTGGGCCGGCAGGTCCGAGAAGCCTGGCCATGCCTGGCAGGCTTCGGGCCCCAGGCCAGGCCCATTGGACTGCTGCTGGGCAGCCTCAGAACCAAGGGAACAAGCCTGCAGAGGCTCACTGCATCCCCCGTGGGGCCCAGGGGCCCCGCTCCCGGGCACAGACAGCCCCCGTCTCCGAGGCCTCGCCCCAGCGCCCTCACCTCCGCTGTCCCAGCTCTCTGTCCTGCTTCCCACCTGTTATGCTTGGGGAGTTCATGGAACAGGCCTGCGTGCGGCGGGTCCAGACCCAGGTCTGAGGGGAACCCTCCCTGCCCCTTCCTCCGGCTGGCGTGGCCTACAGACGCGCATCGTCACCCCCGTCGTCACCCCGTCTAGATGAGCCTTCGCGCCCAGGAGAAGCTGAGTCACCGTGAGGGAGGCTGCTGGGTGAGCCCGGGGGCGGCCCAGGAAACGCAGCGGACTCCCGGGGCTCCGGCCCCCCCGGAGCCTGCCCACCTGGGGTGGGTGTGACGACCTGGCCTCCACGGCACCAGGAAACAAAGCCCTGAGAGTGGGGCTTCAGGACCCCAGGACACTCAGGTGGGGGCCCCTGGAGGTGCCCCACCCTCATCCTGGGCAAACAGTGCAGCCACTCAGTCCCCCACGCAGGCCCTCCTCCTGGGCTGATCCTGCGTCCACCCTGCTCCCCCCTCACTCTGGGGTGCTCCCTCTCCCAACCCACACCCCTGCTGCCCCACATGGGCACCATGCTGGGCACGACAATGGGGAGATGCCCCAGGTGGGGGCCCCTCGCATGGAGGGAACACATATACTCACATGGGTAAGCCTGGCAGAAGACTAAAGTTCATAACAGGCAGGTCATGACTGGGAGGCTTCTTGGAGGAGGTGGCACTTGAGCTGCGCCTGGGAGGTTGGAGGAGGCAGAGGTGGGGAGGGCTTCCTGCAGGCCGGAAGGGGCTGAGCACAGCGGCAGAAGGGAAGACCACAGCTGCGAAAGGAATCAGTCCCCCTGGAGGAGCCGGGAGGGGCAGCCTGCCCACTTCTCCTTCACAATCCCAACTGCAGAGGGGGAGGCAGCCGGCTGGTCTGCAGGGAGACAGGGCCCTTTGTGGGCAGTGCCAGGTTTCCACCCTGCGCCAGCTTGATTCTTTATCTGGGTCGCCCGCTGCGCGACAACATTGCGCTGAAGCCTACCCATCTCCACGTCCTTCCCCAGGGGGGCCTCGCTTGCCCCACCCTGGCCCAGCCCTGCCCCAGGCGCCCATGGGTGGGACACAGAACATCTCCAGAGCCAGCAAGGCCACTGGGCTCTGGGCTCCGCCCTAGCAAAGGACAAGGCTGGGATGCTGTCTCTGCGGCACTTTCTGTTCCCCACCTCACAGGAACCAGGCCTGGGAAACGGCCCGCCCCCTCCCGCGGGTCTGGCCCAAAGCCAGCCTGGGGCCTTCTCTGCCCTCCGGATCCAGCACTGGGGCACTGCAGGGGCGACTGGACACCACTGGGGGATGAGGGGGGGAGGGCACAAGGGGGGAGGGGAAGGGGGATGGGGGACCGGCGGTGATGGGGACACCAGGGTGGAGAGGGACAGGGACCTGGGGCCGCCCACCAGGGAATCCCCACCCCCCCAGCACTCCCCCTTACTCAGAGGCCCTTCCTACCCGCCCCAGCCTCCTCGCCCACCAAGCCATCACCCTTCCTCACAGGAAGACGAGGCCCTATCACGTGGAAACAGGCTTGAACCCTCAAACGTGAGCCCCCAGCACCCTGTCTTCAGGTCGCCCTGAGGCATCCCTGTCCTGGGCCCCCTCAGGCTCAGGCCTGGCCTCCGAGACCCAGAGGGATGGGAGAGGAAGGGGACTGTGTCCCTCCAGCTGCGCCCTTGGCCCCGCCCCTCTGGGGACCACCCACTGGCCGCTCTGCACCCCCAGGCCCTGCACACAGTTTTTCCCTGGCTCCTGGCTCCCCGACTACAGCTGGACAAGCCGCTGTGCCCTCCAGCCTCAGACCATGGGCAGGCGTGGCCCTGGGCACTGGTCTGCCGGGTGCAAGGAAACCTGGGCTGCTGGGCCATGCTGAGTGGGGAGCCACGGACTGGGTGAACGGGCACAGCCGCGGGTGTTGCGCTGGACTTCACGGAGCCCTGGCTTCCTAGAGATGCACCCTCGGGTGCCGGAGGACAGGGCGCCTGGGATTCGGCGGGAAGCCTCAGTGAGGGAGGGCGCTGCCGATGAAATGAGGGTCTTGGGAGTTGGTCTGTGGGGCTGGGCACCAGGGCCATGGAGATCGCTGGACTAGACTGCCTACTTTGGTGTATTTCAAATATTCCATAATAAAAAGTTTATAAAAATAGGGAAACACGTGTGGCTGCAGAGGGGTCTACAGTGCCTCAGATGTGACCTGTGACCCATCTCTGTGCACTCCTTTCCCTCCACCAGGCCATGGCAGAGGGGCTCTGCAAACGGGATGTGGCAGGAGTGCAGGATAGACCGAGGCCTGGTCCCCGTGCGGGCGGGGAAGGGACTAGGTGGGACAGCAGACAGTGTCTGCCATCTCTGGGACATACAGGGACAGAGTCTCCCGGGAGAAGTGCCCACCCCAGGCTGGGAGACCCCACCTCAGCTCCCCACCCCCAGCCCAGCTCCCAAACCCCCTGCCATGTGAGTCCCACTAGTGGGAAGGCTTCCAGTGCCTCTCTGCCTAGGAAACCCGCTCCCCTCCGGGGCAGCTTCCTGCTCTGCCCTGCGCAGACGTCCTGACGTGGTCCTGAGACAAGGGCTGCTCACTCACCCAGTCATTCACTCGGTCATGCACACGCGCAGTCAGCAAATACGGGGTGCAGGGAGGGGTGCCACGGAGGGTGGGAGTGGGGGCGGCACACCCTCAGGGTCTGGCTGGGGACGGGGGGTGCCTGGAGCTGTGGTCCACCTTGGATACCCACTGTGTCATAGCTGGTGCTTGGCACCCATTCAGAGGAACAAGGTGTAAGATGAAAGGAGCCCGGCTTGGAAGGGTCAGGGGGGACGGAAGGCCTCTGGCCACAGGACCCGCCTGTTCTCAGCCTGGGTCCCACCCGGCCAGGGAGGCTCCTGCCACGGCCCGGCCTGGGGTCCGGCTCCCAGGGTGCCCAGAGGCTGGCTGCTTGCCTCCGGAAGCTGCCGTCTCCGGTCAGACGGCCGCTCTGGGCTGTGCACCACCTGCACGTGCCAGCCAGCGGCTGAGGCCACGCTGCAGGACATGAGGCTGCAGCCCTGGCTTTGGCCATCGCAGGCCCCCCTCCTGCTGTGCCCCTCCTCAGCGCCCACCTGCACTCGGCCCCCCCCCGACGTGCCCCACCTTCAGCCACACTTTGGCCTGGAGCCCCTTCTGGGGCCGTTCACCGTGGACCCCACAGTGCCTGACAGAGGGCGCAGCTAAGCCGGGTGCTCGGGTGTGTCCACAGTCCTCTCCAGATGCCACGGGGTAGGCCCCATCACAGGACATCATGGGGCAACTAGGGGTCCCGAGGGTATCCTGAGAGTCCTCAGGTGCTCCCTCTGTGGGTCCCGGGTCCCACCCAGGGAGGAGGCACAGCAGGGGGGCAGCAGTCTGTCCACCCGCTCTCCACACTCCCGGCCAGGGGAAGCCCCCTGTCCCCTCCAGGCCCCTCCCTTCTCCAGCAGCCTCCGCCCGCGGACACTCAGGGGTTGGGCACCTGCATCCCTGCCTGCAGCCTCGGGCATCTGGAAGCAGCAGACGACAAGCGTCCCCCTGCAGCAGCCATGCCCTCACCCAGCAGGCCTGGTAGGGAGGGCACACCCTGGGCTGAGGGCACCTGCCCACGCAGACCCCTGCCTGGCGCCCGGGATGGTGCGCTCCCCCTGGTCAGCTCACCGCCTCCGCGGGGTCCCAGGGGGCTGCCCACCCCACCTTCTGTGCTGTCCAGAGCCCCTGTGGGGGTGGCAGCGGCAGTCCGGTGGCCCTGGGAACCTGCTTCTCCCAGCCGCTCCCCACTCTCGCTGCCCCCGAATCGCTCCGTTCCTCCCCCCCGCTCCCGCCCGCTGCCCCTCCTCCGCTGGAGGCCGCCTCTGATGGAGGCTGGCTGCTGGCCCTGGGCCAGGACCCGCTCCGGGGGATGCTGCCTGCGCAGCCCTGGTCCAGCCCCTCCCCCAGCAGCCACGGCTGTCCCAGCTCCCACCCGGGGCGCCCTCCCCACCCCCACCCCTGCCCCATCCGTGGGAGAGCTCCTCTTCAGGTAGTCCTCGCCTGCTCAAGGGCCTGTGGCGGCTCCCCACTGCCACACACTCTGGCAGGGGCCTCAGGCCCAGAGCAGCAGCTTACCAGGCAGGCATGTGCTGAGTGCATGGGACCCTGCTTTAGAGTCCGCCCTGAAGCCCAGCGGCCGGCTTTGGAGCAGGAAGGCCCCTCTCCCCGCCCAGCTCGGCCAGCCCCAGGGGACCCGAGAAGCACAATCTGCGTCTGGCCCTGCGCCCCCAGGACCACTGGCCTTTGAGACACTTCCTCTGAAGGTGGGGCAAGATGCCAACTGACATAAGGACAGACAGTTCACACAAGAGGAGACAGAGGGCTGCTCGCACATATGAAAAGGTGCTCACATGCTCAGAAAAAGGGAAATATAAATTAAAGGACAATGCACTACCATTTCTCCCTGGCAGATGGGCCAAACCTAGGAGTTTGACAACAGCCTATGGGGAAGACACCCTCAGGTCACCTACTGACACTCTGCCCAGTACAAACCCCCAGGGACAGGACTTGGCAACAGGCCACCAAGTGAGAGATGCACAACCCTCTGGCCCAGTGGCCCTGCTTCTAAGAATCATCTAGGAATCTGTCAGACAGAGGAGTAGATCCTTGAAAGGTTCTTTCCTGTAGCACAGGGCGTGTGGACCCCTCAGTGTGTGGAGCCCGACAGCCTGGAAACCACTCAAACATCTGCCCACTGGGCTCCGGCTGCGTGAAGTACGTCCCGTCCACACTACGGGGCACCCGGCAGCTGTGCACTGGATTGGTTTTCTCAGGGCGCACCGCTAAGGGGCAAAGGGGGTTGAAGCTTCTTTCCTTATTTAGGGCTAGCATCTTGCATTTTAACAAGTGGAAGGACAAGCCACTACATTTGTTCTAAATTAAGTTGTTACCTACAGGGAACAGATGGAATGAAGTGAAGGGAGATGGGGATAGAACTGAAACTTCTGTGATTATACCCTAGCTGGCAGATTTGGCTTTGGGACCATGTAAATATTTATGTAATTACTAAGTTAAGTAAAATTATAAAAGGATTTCTTAAACTTGAAAGCAGGATGAAAGCAATTACGTCCATCATGAGGTGGTAGCCTCACCTTACCTAACTCTGCCAAGAGACGTTTGCCATCCAGGGCTTCAGGGCAGATCCGAACAACCTGTGTATAGAAAGCATGGCGAAATGTTTCATTTTCCAAATGATTTTGGAAAAACCACTGTTTTGTCTGCACATCTATATAACCCAAGGATTTTAAAGATAAATAAAAATGTGTGAAACTGTTTTTAGTGACCGTGCTGTTGACAGTAGTGTTGGAGTTGGTATCTGAGCTCCCTGTGCTGTGGGAGGTGCCGGGTTAATGATCACGTTCGCACCATCAAGAGCCCTGGTTGCTGGAGGAGATGCGCGTGTGTCACCAGTACGGTTCAGTGGACCATGGAGCTCTGAAGTTGAGTGGTGTCCGTATCCACTGCAGCTGTCTCCTCTCAAAAAGAAAATGTCCTTGTCTGCCGCCAAGGCCCTAAAACAAGCCCCCTAACATCCAGACTGTGGTCTCTACATATTTCTACCATTTCTGTCAGTGGCTGTTCTCAGGTCTGGGTTAGAAAACGTGAAGAAGTGCCTGGAATAGCTTTTCATGCTAGAGAACAAAGTGGATCAGGACCGTGGCCACTATCAGAGGCTCTCAGGAGCCAAGCTTCCCCCACTGGCCAAGGTGCGATGATTTGAGTATCAATAAGGAGAATGAGTTCAATGAATTGGAACAAAAAAATGTTTCAATTCATGAATTTGTACTTATGCTTAAAAAAACCATACACACAATTCAGTCACTTCACGAAGTGTCCTTGCCAAAAACAAGGACTTGAACCTGATCAAGCAACTAGATTAAGCACCGTGTGTGACATCTGACCAAGCCACTGACAGGAGCTGGAGAGGGCATGTGACAGCCGGCGACCCTTTGCCAGACCCTGAGCTGAGGCCAGCTTCCCCTTCTCCTTCTGGGACGGTCTGCGCGGTGTCCCCCACCAGAGGGGCCCCAATGAGGCTGATTGGTTAGACTGCGGCGTTGTGGACAGCCGCCGTCCGGCAGCCAGAGGTGGGTTAGGTAAGGGTCCCTGATGAGGAACAGGGACTGGAGAGCCTGCCCTGGGGGTTGGCTGGCTAAACTGACCAAGAAAAAAAAAACACACATGGATAATAATCTGGAATGAAAGAGAAGGCATCACTTCAGACCTTATAGATATTAGAAGAATAAGAACATTATTAATAACTATGCAAATACATTCGACAACTTTGTTGAAATGCACAAATTTCTTTAAAGTCACAGCTTGCTTTGCAAAACCGATACAAGCAATATAAAACCTAAATTACCTATATCTATTAAAGTTGTTGAATTCATAATTTAAAATCTTTCTACAAAAAAACCCTCCTGACCCAGATGGTGTCACTGGTGAATTCTATCACATATTTAAAGATAAAATAATATCAATCTTAAATAGTTTCAGAAGGTAAAGGAGAAATACTTCTCAAGTCATTTTCAAAGGCAAGCTTTACCCTCATTGCAAAACTGGACAAAGTTATTATAAGGAAAGAAAACTATAGACCAATAACATGCATGAACATAAACACAAAAATCTTTAATAAAATATTAGCTAATTGAATTCAGCAAGATATAAAACAAATAACATCATGAACAACTATCTCAGGAATGTAAGGTTTATTTTAATATTGGAACATCAATCAATAATTCACTGCATTAATAAAGAACATTTATATAATCCTCTCATTAGACGCAAAAAAAATACAAAATTCAACATCCTTTTTAGATAGAAACTCCCTTACTGTGATAAAGAGCATCTATTGATAATCTATAGGAAACATCATACTTAACGGTGAGACTGAATGCCTTCCCACTGTGCTCAGGAAAAGGAACACAGCTCTCACCATTTTTATTCAAAATGGATTGGGGAACCTAACTAGTCAGTAGAAATAAGGCAAGAAAAAAATGCATTCAGATAGGAAGGGAAGTACAACTATTTTCACATATAACATATTGTGTATGTAGAAAATCATAAGAAATGTACCCCCCATAATTACATACTAATAAGTGAATTAGCAAGGCTATAGGACACAGAATTAACACACAAAAATGTATTTCTATATACCAGCAAAAAACTGGAAAAAGGAAACTAAAAATACATTATCATTTGCAAGTGTCAAAAACAAAGAACTTGAGAAGCGCACAATGTGTATGCTCCAAGCTACAAAATATTGGTGACAGAAATTAAAGCCCCCCATAAATGGACAGGTATACGGCATTCATGGACTGAGGGTGCAGTTCTCCCATGTCGAGCTATACGATCCAATCAAGCAGCAAGCATCACCTCCTGCTGGCTTTGCTTCCTCAGCCCTGCCCTCGTCTTGCTGGCCTCCCCACCTCCTGCCTGGCGAGGATGCCAACATCTCTCCCTTGCATGTCTGCAACTGCCTTGTGGTTGGTCCACTACCTCTGGTCCATCCTGAGCTTTCAGCCAGAGAGAGATGTCAAATATACACATAGCAGGCCCTGCTTACAACTATGCAGGGGCTTCCCACTGCCCAAGAAATAAGACTCAAGCTCCTTCAGCGGACCCAAGGCCCTGATGGACCTCTCCAGCCTCGGCTCCTGCCCCAGCAGAGTAGCCCCAGTCAAGCCCGAGCCAGTGACTCCTTGCCTAGCAGCCTCACCTCCTGGCAGATCTGTAAAGGGACCAGGGGTCCCGGACAGCTGAGGATGGGAGGGCCTGGGCCCTGGCCCTGTGAGCAGGCTCCCAGGCCAGACTCAGGCAGCACTGTCTTTGCAGACACAGCCTGCACTTGCCGGAGGGTCCGAGTGTGGGCTGGACGCGGCCAGAGCCCACAGCCACTGTCTGGGCTCCTTTGGGGAGGGATGGGGTCCCAGAGCTGCAGTGCTGAGTGTAGCTGGGGGCTGGCCCAACCTGCCCCCAGAGCACATCCTCAAAACCAGAAAAGACCCTCCCCCAGTGGAGCAGTCGTGTCCATGGCCTTGTGTGGGGTCCAGAACTCCAAAGTGCCTTCAGGAACACAAGTGACTTTCCAGCCATTTTAGAAGGCAGCAAAGCTAACTTAAATCTGTTAAATATTCAGGGGGAAATCTAGTAAAACTAAATGAGGCAGACATGGGACACTGAGAATTGTGAATGGAGACAGAGAGAAAAGAGCCTGAAGCTTCTGAGAAGCCAGCAGCCTGGCCAGCCCTGGGCCACCCAGCCCGGCCCCACTCGCCTCCTGGCCAGGCAGCCCTGCTCCAACCAGGCCTTCCCGGGGCACCAGGCTCCCACACTTACCCCAGAAGCTCTGCCACCCCAAGGCTGGCGCAGGAGCAGGACGGGGAAGGACGGGCCCCCACGAAGGAGGTGCTGCACGCCTGCCTGCAGCAGGAAGTGACAGAAGAACCCAGAGGTGGTGTGGGGCAAAGTCCGCCGGGAAGGCTGGGGAAGACGTCCTCACCTGCGCACTCCCAGACCTGCTCATAAATCTGGGTCTGCCAGAGCCACCGCGTGTGGGAGAGAGGTGGTCTTCACCCTACACTGTACCCCGCCAGCAGGCCCACAGCTTGGAGGCCCAGGGCAGGCCCCAGGCCCCATCAGCCGCTGTGGTGGAGGTTGAGGCAGCAGCAGGCCTGCCTGGGGCCCAAGGGGGCCCTGTGGTCCGCAGGGGCAGTTCAGCCTGGGGCAGCTGCACTGGATGTGGGGGCTGTGGTCGGGCTGCTATGTGTCAGGAGCTCCGCCACGGCGGGGAGAGGGAGCGACGGCTGCAGCCCCCACATGCTCAGACCCCAGAGGGCCTCGGGGGCAGGCCTACCCCCCTGCCCCCTCCTCAGCAGGCAGGTCCGCTCACCCTATCCCATGGGTTCCTCCCGGCCGAGGACTCCGGGGCAAACCAGAGCCAGAGGCCGGGACACGGGACACACCGTGAGTACAGACAGAGCTGCGATGTGTTTGCAGCGAGCCCGCCGAGGCCCAGAGAACACCCCCTGCTTCTCAACGTCACTCAGCTAGGACAGGGCAGTGCTGCGGGGGCCAGGTCTGCCCGGCTACCAAGGTTGCCCTGGGGCAGGAGGGCACGCCCCATTGCAGCTGCCCCCCAAGTCCTAAGAGCCCAGCTGGTGGCTGCCCCCCCCCAGGTGGCCCTTCCATCTGTGGTGCCCGCAGGTCCTGGTCCTCCAGCCGACCCCACAGCGGGGCCCGGACGTGTCCCCAGATCCAGTCCCTTGAAGAGCAAAGGGTGAGTCACCCCACAAACTCTTGGGGAGGAGCCTGCACCAGTCTCGGCCGTGCCCTCTGGAGTTCCGGAGAGGTCTGGGTATCTGGCCCAGATGTGATGGGGCAGGGCGGTTAAGCAGCCATTTCCTTTTTCAGGTGTGACCACACCCCCAGCCCTCCTTTGGAAGGGTGGCGCTCCTGCTGGGGCATGGGGCCTGACTTCAGGGTGAGAGGCAGGGAAGCCTGCAGGACTCACGGAGGGATGGAGCCGAGTGCACAGCTCGAGTGCAACCCCAGCAGCCTCCAGACTGCCCAGGAGGGGCGAGGGGACAGGCGGTGACACACACCAGTGGGGCCATCAGGGCTCCCAGGCTGGGCAGGGGTGTGGCGGCCTCCTGGGCCTCTCCCACAGGAGCACCTGGACCGAGCTCAAGGCCCTGGCGGCAGCAGGGAGTCCACCGGAGGGCTGCTGAGGGGACACTGTGGGGGTGCCGGGGGCAGCCCAGCTGGCTGTGGCCTCGGCCAGGGCTGCCGTGACTTCTCACAGTTCCGAGGGCTGGAAGCCCAGGGTCAGGGCACTGGCAGTCGGTTCCTGGTGAAAGCCATCTTCCTGGCTTGCTGACGGCCACCTCTTTGCTGTGTCGTCATGTGAAACTCTGGGGTCCCCCCACAAGGACATTGATCCCATCACAGGGCCCCACATGCAACCTCATCCGAGCCCGATCCCCCCACCAGCCCTGCCTCCTGACACCACCACACAGGGGTCAGGCCTTCAGCACAGGGACTGGGGGAACAACTCCGTCCCTGGCATCTTTGCCAAGGTGGCCGCCAGGCAGACCTGTGGTTCTCATCCAAATGACAGTGCCAAGCAGAGGGCAGTAACATGCCGGACAGCAGGAGGGACTGGGGCACGCACCACACACGCAAGGCTAAGCCGGGGGGTGCGAGCGCCGGGCATCCCAGCCACGTGGGGCGTGGGGCGCCACAGAGCCCCAAGCGGGGCGGCCAGGCTATGCCGCCCTAACTTCCTCTCCCCCCCTTGCAGACACGTCCACCCCGAAGCCGCCAGGGCCATCTGCCTCTGGAGAGCCCAGCCTCGGTCCTGGGGCCGCACAGCGGGTTTGGAGCTGGGTCGCTCGGTGTGTCTCTGGTGGCCCTTGGCCGAGGTGGTGGTCCCGCTGTCACCACTGCAGCTCTGGGTTGACCGGAAGGTGCCGGGGGAAGGCCCAGCCAGCAGGCCTGCGGATCCCGGGCTGGGTGATAGGGCAGGCTGTGGGGGCCGGCCCTGAGGAAGTCTCCGGTCACTTGCAAAGAAGCTCCAGCCGAAGGACAGAGCCAGACCCGACCCAGGTGGCCAGGCCCCAAGGGGAAGGACCCTCCCCCCCGCAAGTGTGCATGACCTGGACCCCCAGAGTGCCTGCATCCCCACCCTGTGGCTACTCGGTGCTGCATGCTGGGAGAGGAAGGGGTGTCCATGTGTTTTGAGAGCCACTGGGCACAGAGGTCCTGAGCTGACTCTGCCCCTGGGGCATCCTCATGGGCCCTGGCAGAGTGGGCACATGGGCAGTGAATAACAGAGGCTTGCCAGGACCGGCTTATGGTGGGCGCATGGCCATTTTCTGGTCTCCAAGCACGTGATTGGGATTGAAATGTGGCAAACAACCAACACCCTCACTGGGGTCAGAGATCACAGCTGGGAGGGCCAAGGGGGGACTGAGACCATAATGCAGCACCAGCAGCAGGCTGGAGATTTGGACCACCCTGGGGGCTCTGTAAAGTCAGGGTGGGACCCTGCGTCTCCATGTGATTCCATGTGGCTGGAAGAACTGCGCTCCAGGATGGTGTGGACTGCGGCTCACCGAGGGGCAGCCACAGGCAGGCCGTCACTAAGGCCTGAGGTTCAGGGGTGCAGCCATGGTGGGGTGAGTCTGGGAGGATCAGAAACACATGGGCTGGACAATAGGCCCTGGCAGTTTCTCCCCAGGAACCTCATACTATGGCACAGAGACCCAATGGGCCAGACACCCTGATCATGTGACGACAGGTGCCAAGCTGGAAGAACAAGAGGTGATGGGAGAACCGCGGTCAGGGCCTGCTGAGTCAGCAATGGTCAGGGACCCAGGGCGACGTCCCCTGCCGAGTCCGGAGCACAGGACCGGACCGGGCACCTCCTGCCGGAAGCAAGCAGAGGCCACGGGGTCTCTCCGTTTGCCCTTGGCAGCGTTTCCCGCTGGGCACACCATGTGGCTGGGACCCAGACAGCTGGAAGGAAGCCGGGTGGAGGGCAGTGCTCGCAGGCTTCCTGGGGCGGCTCCAGTCCTGGGGCGGGCCCTGCCTGAGCCCCCAAACATCACATCTCCACATTGCCGCCCCTTCTCCCCAACGCCAGCCCTGCCCTCCTCCAGGCCTGCATCATGGCCAGTGTGCCAGCAGCTGGATGGAGCCCCTGCGGGCGGTTGTCACCACTCCCTCAGGGAGGCCGATTCACGGCCAGCTACCCGAAACCAGCCACACCTGGAAACTGCTCAATACTCCTGCGTTTATAAAGTTACATCCTAAAAGTGTCTCAAATAAAAAGTCTTGTTCAGTGTTGTCATATGGTCCTCTTGTCCAAGGCCAGGCCTCTCTGGAGCCAGAGGGGGACACAGCGGATTAGGGGAGGCTCTGCCGTCTGTGGCGTGGAGCAAACATGCCCCTGTGAGGTTCCCTTGCCCGTCCTGTGGCACCTGAACGACCCCAGGACTGCCTCTCCCCAGGACGGGGCTCCTCACCGGGGCCTCCAGGCATGCGCTGCCCTCCAGTGTGGGTCCAGCTGCGGCAGCGAGGAGGCCGGCAGCACCCAGTGAGGATGCCCCTCAGACCCGTTGCTGGAGCTGACACGCGGGATCTCCCAGTCAGGTTTTCATCACGGCCGTAAAGGAGGCCTGCAAGAGGGCACAGGGGAGGCCTGGGCAGCAGCTGCCCTGGACAGCGAGCTGGGGCCTCCTCAGCCTCCCAGGCACCAGCCAGGGGCTGGGACCACAGCCCCAGCCTCACCGCCCTCGCAAGCCCTGCCCAGGGCCCTCATGGGAAGAGAAAGAGTTGCGCGTCCCAGGACACAGCCCAGCCTGCAGCCTGGCCGCTGGGAGGGGCCGGGGGCCGCCAGGGCCCTAGGCAGCCCTGAGGTACAGGGAGCTTACACACCCCACACGTACCTCCTGGAGAAGCTGCCCCAGTGCCTCCTGGCTGTGAATGGAGCGCCTGCAGGAGAGCGCACCGTGGTCATCCTCCCAGTGCCCGTCCAGAAGGGCAGCCACACACCCGCCCAGCTATGCACGAGATGAACGCGAGTCTCCCCCGCCCCCCGGGCTGACAGGCAGGCAGTCATGAGGTAGGTGTGTCTGGTGCCGGCCTCTGCCAGAATGGGAAGGGCTGGGCTTGGTGGGGCAGGCTGGGGAGACGGGGTGGGTGGGCCTGAGGTGCCGAGGACCACAGCCCTGGGCCCCACCTGTCTATCCTGGTGGCTATGGTCACAGTGAAGACACCCTCCGAGTCTGGCAGGTAGGTGGAGGGCACGATCCTGTAGCTCCCCGCCGGCAGGTGGCAGAGGCGGCTCACTTCCTGGGCGTAGCGATGCGGCACGCAGCTCAGCAGAGGCTCCTGCAGCAGCAGGGAGGGTGCGCCTGGGCCCCTGCCACCTGGGGGCACCTGGGGGGCATGCATGGGCGGGTGGGACTGCCTGCGGCGGCTCGAGGCACACAAGGGCCACACTCCCTCCCTAGGCCGGGCGCACCTGGGCAGGGGCAGTGGTCTGCCTAGCTCTCCTGGGGCTCGATGCCCCCGACCCCCTGATCACACACACTCTTCTCCAAGGAGGAGGAGCTGCCAGGCCTGCAACGCTGGGCTCCCTGCGCATCAGAGCTCCCCAGCCCTGGTGGAAGGCCCGGGCAGGGGGGCAGGCAGCCCTGCCAGGTGCCCACGCCCACAGGGACCACCAGAAGCACACTGCCCAGGCCCCAGCCCCAGGGTCATCCTGCCTGAGGCACTGGCACTTTCCCCTCACACTGGACTCCCTGGCCTGGGGGCGGCTCCTGTGACCTTGCAAGCTCTCCATACACCTGACTGTTGGCGGCACCACTGGGGAGTGCTGTCAGGCCCCCAGTGTCTTAGTGAGCGTGGGCCTCCCCCATCCCTTTTCTGCCCCTCCAGCGCCAGCCATTGCTTGTTCCTCACTCCTAGCCTAGGAGCAGCCTCAGTGGCTGGGGAAAGGTGGGTCCTGTGGCTCTGGGGTGGCTCCTGGTGCATGGCCGTGCCCCAGTGCATGCCAGTGGGTCTCCTAGGTGGGAGGTGCCGTCTGGGAAGCAGAACTGCCCTCATGACACAGTTGCTCAGAGCCAGGGTGAGTGGACAATGGGCTGAGCTGACCTCTGACCCCAGTGAGTTATGGACTGTATGCATCCTAGAAAAGTCTTGATGTGCCCAGTCAGCCTGGCCGACTTGCCCGAAGGACAAAATCCAGGCCTCAGTGCCACTCCTGGCCATCTGCGTGGACACAGATCCTGAGCGACCTTCCCCTCCCTGCAGCCCACCTGGCCTGACTCCGGCCCTGGCCCCTGGCCCCTGGCCCCCAGCCAGCGTGAGAAGCTTGCCTGGAAGATGTGGAAGCCGATGGGGTGGCACTTGCCATCCTGGCAATCCTGCTGCAGGGAGATGCGGATGCAGCGTGGGCCGGCGCCCTCGGGGACCGAGAGTGGGAAGCAGGGGTTGGTGGGGTAGGAGGCGAAATTCCTGCTGCCACCCGCTGTCTGGCCAAGTCTCCAGGAGCCCCGCAGCCGCACGGTCTCCCACTCCCCCAGTGGCAGGGCCTCCCTGGGGGCAGGGCTCTGGGCCACAGGCTTGACGGCGCTGCGCGAGACAGACAGCACCCGATGTTGCCAGCTTCGGTCACAGGAACCACAAGCCCCCAAGGAAGCACCTATAGGTCCCTCCCACGCCCGAGCCGGAGCTAGAAAAGCAGCGGCCCCCGGTGGCCCTCACCTGAGAGAGACTCGCCCGCTGGAGAAGACCCGGAGCAGGAACTGCCCTGGTACATCCTTTAGGAAGGTGCTGGGGACGGCCAGGTAGTACCCTGGGGCGAGCTCGCAGCGGAGGTGGATCTCCCGGTCATACGCGTGACACACGGTG